CAGTGACAATGATTGTATGCCACATTATCTCTCTATTTGTGGGCCAGCTGGGCACATATAGCATGAATTTTAGTGTTCTGAACCTTACAGAGAATTACTGAGGTATCCCCTTCTAAATATTCCTGCAATGCAAAATTATTTCTACCTCCAAGATTTTATTTTATATCCAGAAATGTTTTATACACACACACACACACACACACAATAGCAAGTGTTCAATGTGGGTCTTCAAACTAATCTAGGCTATAAAAGTTTTGTTTTCTCAGGACACTTGGACTAAGTATATATTCAGCTAGTACTTATTGAGGGTCTAATATGTACCTGCTACTTCTGCAGGAAGCTAGTGAGTCCTGTGCTAGTCTTGCTCTTGGCTAAGGAGAAAATTCATGCTTAGAGAGAGGGGAGGGGTCCTATTTAAGACAGACAACAACAGATGGCAGAGAGGCCAGGATTCAAAACCAATTCTTTGATTCCAGAGTCAGTTTTCTTCCATGACTGCAAGGAACACAATATTTTTCATGGCGCATGATTCGCTTGTTAAATAGAGGCAAAATGTTTTGTATCAGTTAAAACAATGGAGCATCACTGAGAATACCATTTTTTTAAGATTTTATTTATTTATTTGAGAGAGAGAGAGAGATCATGAGAAGGGTGGAGGGGAAGAGGGAGAAGCAGATTCCCCACTGAGCAGGGAGCCCAATGCAGGACTCGATCCTAGGACCTTGGAATCATGACCTGAGCCGAAGGCAGATGCTTAACTGACTGAGCCAACCAGGTGCCCAATCATTTCTGATTTTAGAAAAGGAGTCAACTTTGTATTATAAGGTCAGGGGAAGGCCTTTGCATTTTTGGTCTCATCTCAGCAGAGAATTAGAATTAGTGATTGTGGTTATCACAGATGTCATTGCACTCAAGTGGAAAACAGTGTAAAAGGCTAAAAAAAATGTATTGGCAAACTGCTAATAAGCTTTTGTGAGTAAGAGGAAAGAAAAGATTTGGAAATAGCTTTAGAAGAAAATGCTTTTATTTAGACTAGCTGGAGGAAATCTTCTCTGTGTTAATGACCAATATGTGGACTGACAGTCATTCTGTGCTCTGCCAAGGGAAGTCTTCATAAGGAACAAGGAAGGTTAAGTAGAGACCAATGGGCAGCTCAGTCCCCATACCCTCACCTCTATCACAAATACCTCAGCTACCTAGCATGTACATGGATCTCCAGATCTACTCCAAATGGTGGGTTATTAGCTCTGTTTAATGAGTTCTAGGCTTCGAGTCAGTTCTAGTTCTTTATCATTTTGAAATGGAAGTCCCAGGAAGTTCTTCACTGTGTCTAACTTATCCTGAATGTGGTTTATGAATGGTGTGACTAGTGCTCTCCAGCTCAATAAGGCCTTTTCACGCTGCATTGTTGTACAGAAGAATTTAATTTGGTTTCAAATCAAAACTGTGCTTTCTAGGTAGGTGTCCTTGGGAAAATTACTTACCTCCTCTGAGAATCAAGATTCAGAAAAAAGGATGCCTATTTTACATGACTATTTTGAAATGAAATTATAGAAGATAGATGGATGAGGAGAGAGAGGGAATGAGAACACACCAGGTAGCTGATAAGCACTTAATAAATGTTAGTTTCTTTTCTCTTCCCTTGAAGGAATATCCATGAATTTGAACTATTTTTATTCCAACAAGTTGCACATTTTGAATGTAATCTCTTTAATGACGAGCTCCCTTCTTCAAATCATAGAATCCTAACCCTGTCAATGTTTTCTTGATAGAATGCTGTCCCAGCTCTTTGTTAACTCTGGACGTCCTTTCCTTTGCCTGTTCCACATGTCTGATATAACAGGCAGAATTTAAAACTGATCACGGTCCTTTGGAGAATGTGACCAGCAAGTTTTGTGGAATAGTTTTTCTAAACTATGGCATTTTCCAGAAAGAGGAAATCAGCAGGGGTGGCATGGAGGGTTCAATCACAAGGCCACACACACACCTGCACTGCAGGTGATGACTGATGAACATTCTTAAGTGCAACTGGAGAATGTTCACAGGCTGGGGAGACTATTTCCTCTTGTGTTTACATAGTGTCTTTGTCTTAAACTTTCTGAGAGACATATACCTATATTCTTCCCTTTGGAGCTGAGGATAAGCCGCTATGTAGAAAAGGCTTACACTATTCTTTAATGTGTTTAATGAGCATTTAAGTATAATCTTGGTAATTAGAATACATATATATATGTGTGTGTGTGTATATAGATATATATATATATAGATATATTCACTCAGCAATGAAGCAAACTCAATGATTTGAATTGCTTCCACAAATGATTATTACCTGTGTATATAGGAATATGCCTCTCCAAAGTACAGTGACGACACCGATCCCTGACTGTTTTAACGAATCCTTATTTAATATAAATGCAGAACTCTCCTGCCTGATAAATTAAGTATATGTTATGTATAAGAACAACAGCAATGAACATTATACTATACTATAGCAAACACATATAATGCCAGTACTATTATAAAAAATAATAGATATAACTTTCATTCTCAAGAAAAACTCTGTGAGGAAATACTAAGTATGTACATTTTACAGATGAGGAAATTAAGGCATATAAAACAAACATGTACGTTTGTATAAAAACATACATAATTGTATGTTTTATACAAAAAAACAAGCAACTTGCTGTCACACAGCTAGTAAGTTCCTGAGTCCAGACTTAAACTCAGGGAGTCTGGCTATGATCCAGAATCTAGACCAACTTAAATATTACTACAGAACCAAATTCTGTGACTTACCGATTGAGAACTTCTTATGCCTTTTTTGTTTTTTTATGGACTAGAACAAATGTTACAAAGAAGACACTGTCCTATTGAGAAAAAAGCTGCTTAATTCTCCAGAGTTATTTAGCTATTATTCATATTTAGCCTACCATTCCTATCTCTCTGTTTTTGTTTGTTTACTAGAGGAACCAAAGTGGTTTGATGTTCTTTACCGTCACAAACAGAAGAGGAGGGCTACCAGGGGAAGGAACTGTCCTTTCGAGGGCGGAGAGTGCAGTGCCCACGGAGAGGCCACATTCCTTTTGCTCACTTTCCTATGGGTCTGGGGACATGCAAGGGGTTTCCTTAGCTGAAGGCAAGAAAGGGCACTCCATGAAAACTATTTATAATATTTATGCTCTTCCATGAAGTAAAGACTAACATCTCTCTCCAAGGTGGATCTCCATTAAGCCATGGAGTTTGTTGCTTTGCCCTGTTGCCACCCAGGATGGAAAAGAACCATGGGGAGAGAAGACAAGAAGGTCAGCCAGGGAGAAAAGAGGTAAGGACTGTCCCTGGTAAGCTCTACCTGAGGGGGAGGAAAGATGGCTGCTGTTCGGCCTGCAAGCCTCAGGTTTGAAGCTGCTGAGGACAGATGAGAAATGGGGACTCTGGTCATGGGAGGGACTGCTATGGTTCAGGTAGTGGTGAGTATGTGGGAAGGTACAGTGTGCTATTGCTAGGTGTTCTGTTGAAGAAACAGCTGGTCTCCCAGGGTATCACTTGGCTGGAGGAGCTGTGGGAGTCTCCCAACATTGGTGCATGTTTGGTTATCCACCCATTCAGGCTACATCACCAGAGTTAACCAAGAGAAAGGGGACAGCCACAGTAGAATGGTGAGGAAGTGCCAATTCCTGTTTCCTTTTTTTTTTTTTTTTTTTTTTGCCCCAATACTACCAGAGGAGAAATCTAAGAGAAAGGACCATCTAGAGGGGTGATATCAGAGATAGAGCGGACCATACCCCTACCCCTGTCAACTCCAGAACACGCTGGTGGAACCCAAGTCCTAATTATGTTAGAAGGAGGGACAGAGGTCTGAATAAAATATAAAATTTTAAAATAGAAAGGACTAATAAATAATAAAGTTAGAGATTTAAATTGAAATGCCATTAAGGAAGCCTACGTGTCATTGAGAAATAAGGTTGAAACAAAATTGGTAACAGATATTGGAGAAGTAAAATGATTTAATTTTTATACATTAATCAATTAAATGTTCTCAATTCAACCAGCTATAATTATAAAACAAGTGGAGGGAAATATTAACCCCTACCCCCCCAACCCCTCCAGCTTTTATCTGATTGGGGAATTCAGAAATACAAAATACTAAGTCCTCTACATGTAAGCCTGCCCAGCCAATATCTCCATTCTTTTTTTTTTTTTTAAGATTTATTTATTTTAGACAGAGAGAACAAGCAAGAGAGAGTACGAGCAGGGGGAGGGGGAGAGGGAGAGGGAGAGAGAGAATCTCCAAAAGACTCCCCACTGAGTGCAGAGCCTGACACTGGGCTGGATCTCACAATCCAGAGACCATGACCTGAATCAAAATTAAGAGTTGGACGCATGACCTATTGAGCCACCCAGGCACCCCCAACATCTCCATTCTTATCTCCTGCCCCACTGCTTCACATACCCTAGGCCAATCTCTGAGTCACCTAATGGCCTTATGCCACCTCATGCTTGCTCATGTGTTCATGTTTTTGCACATGCCCTTTCTTCTGCTCAGAGTACCCTTCCTTCCAGTGTCTGCCAGGCAATTATCCATAGGTGCTTCAGTTCTCAGCTTGACAGTTATGTCTTCTCTGAAACCATCCTGACCTGCTCCCCCCTCCTTCTTTGATGCCCATTCTCAGCCAGGTGTCCTTCCAGGATCTTCCATTAATCCCTTACATGCATCTCCTTTGTGATGCTTACACCGGATGCAAATATGTGTCTGTATTTCTGCCACTCCCAATAGACAATGAGCCCTCTGAAGGTAAAGAATAGATCTCATTTGACTTGTTAAATGAAGTACCTAGCACAGTACTTGGCACATAACATAAGCTTTATAGATTATTTGTTAAGAGAAGGAAGGAAGAGAGGAAAAAAGGGAAGGAAGGAAGGAAGGAAGGAAATTTCTGCATGCCCTAGTGATGAGGCTCCAGTTTAGTGTAAGAGAAGGCTCCATATTATTCTCATCTTACCCTTCCAGGGAGATGGCCCGTTGGAGGGTCACTGAAGGCTGGCGGGTTGCGGTGCTGTGTTGAGAATGACTGCAACAAGAGAAAGAAAAAACAAACACAGGTCATTTATTTAAAATGTCTTTGCACATTGTCATCAGTCCTATTGTCAAAAAAAGAACAAATCTTGAAAGAAATCCAATGGAGCTAAAATGTTCTTTGGTGAGATGTAGAATCATCCACCAAAATCTGGTACTCTACCGGATAAGGGGGTAATATTTCCTTATAATTTGATTTCAGCATGTATTATTCAAAAGTAACCTTGAAATGACAGAAAGACATGAAAAGAAACAAAAATATTTGGAAGAGGTAATTTTCATAATTTCATTATGATGCAGTGTATTACTTTTTAAGTGAAGAACATTTTTATAACACATTTTTAAACAGTGGATTTGAAAATTGGAGAAGTATTTAATTAGTATAAGCTTTCATATTAGTTCACATTTGCAACACTCACTTGTAAAATTAATAACAATTCAGCTGTTGGATGAACACAAAAACTTGAAAAATGAGACCTCTGGTTGCATGCCAACCTTAGAATTTAATGTCAATCCATATTTTGTTTGTTGCATGGTAATAAGACTGATTTTATAGATAAGCAGTTGCAATAAAAATTATAATGTTTATCATTCATTTTGCACTCATATTGCCTGAATTCCTTTTCTACATTTATTTGTTTACTTCTCTCAATCCTATGAGGTACACCCTGTCCCATTAACAGGTGAAGGAACTAAGGTATGGAGAGGTTTAGAAACGTGTCCCAAGTCAAGTGGTAAATACTTGTGCTTGAGATAGCATCTAAACTGTCTGATTCTAGAGACATTATTCTTAACCATCATGTTACATCATCTCCCAAATGGTGACAATTTCTCAGATCTGTAAGAATGTGTTTTGCATTCTCAGAATACTCTTCAATTAGAGATAGAGGTTCCTCTGAGATATGTACAGTAATAATCCAGCAGCAAAAAGTAATGCTTTGTAGATTTCCTATGTGTTAAAATGTATGATAAAATGTGTTTCAGTGTGTAATTTTAGTTTGTTGTATTGATGTAATATCTTAATTGTAATATTAGTTATAAACACACACACACACACGTTATGAAGGTGTATATACACAAATATATGAATAAAGAGAAACCCGAGTCAGATGTTTGCAGAACATTAGACACCTTCACACAATTCCACAACTTCTCAGCACATACTTCTGAAAACACTGACATTGTCACAGAGAGCCAAGCTGTAGGCTCCAGATTTTCATCCAGAAATTCAGTCATTATGGATGATAAGTGGTATCCCTCTGTGAATAGCATTTAGTTGTGACATGGATGACATTTATCTGAGGTTGAGGGAGAATTTGGGCATTGTAGCTAAAAACTAGAGAATGTTGTTGAAATTAAGGATTGTGCCCTATGTTTCCTGGCATCCTTCATAGTGTCGAGCATGATATATGTTCCCTGAACATGTTTTGACTGACAGTTGAAAAACAGCCTAGCATTCAGGAGCTGGGCCATGTAGCCAGATGCTTGAGTTAAAATCCCAGCTCCACCAAATGGACCAATGTGACCTTGCTCAAGTGAACTACATCTCTCTGTGTGTCAGTTTCTCACCTGTGAGATCAGGATAGTAATAGTACTTTCCTCCTGGGATTTTTATAAGGATTCAGTGAATACAATGTTTAAAACGGTGTCTATTACATGGTAAAAGCTACATAAGTATTTGTTAAATAAATAATATGATTTAGCAGAATGTGTATTTTAACATAGCACTAAATAAGAATAATTACTTAAATCATTTCTTTTAGTTATATAGTCAGTGCCACAAGGTGTGTATTTGGGAGTATAATATAAATTTGGTGATCAGTATCAAATTAAAATATATTTTCTATTGTAAAAACATTATAAATTAATGAAAATCAAAATAAGAGAAAGTTAAAAAAATCACATATAATTCCATTACCTTGTCTCAGATGTTACAGAATTATCTAATTTAATTATTGCAGCTGTCCTGTAGGTATATATGAGTAGCCACATTTTATATATAAAAAAACAAAGCACACAAAACTTAAACGACTTATCAGAAATCAATAGCTTGCAAATATGGAGCCAGAATTCAAACTAAAGCCTATCTTGTTGCCAAGTGTGTGTACTTCCATGCTATGTTATTGACTCTCTATATGTCCACATCTGCTTCATATAGTTTTATATATACACAGACCATATATAGCTTTATATCCTGCATTTGCTTATTATATTATAATTTAAGCATTTCTTATAGGGTCTCCATAATTATTATTTTCATGTTATATAATGTTTTTTCCTCTGAAGATATATTTATTCTTTTGTGGTTAGATATTTGGGTTATTTCTACTGTTTTAATATTATAAACAATGTTGCATGAATATATTGTTATAAATTACTTTTTCTTATTTGACAATTTCCTTTTACTATATTCCCCAAATGGAAACATTCACTAGGTTCTTGATTTATGTTATTAATTACTTTTCAAAAGCTTTGTATCATTTTATTGCCTCCAATATATTATAATATATATTCCATTAATATCTTTTTAAATAATATAAAATATATATATGCCAGTTTCACCACAATCTTATAGTCACTAACATTATAATTTAAAAAAAATTGATAATAGGTACAAAACGATACTTCAGATTTATGAGTATTTCTTCTTTTTACTAAAATGACCATTTTTTTCTATATGCTTACTTGTTAATTGTGTTTCTTTTGTTTAAACTGTTTAATCCTTTCCTTTGCCATATATATTACACTGGTTTAGAAAGTACCAACAGTCCTTTTGGGTAAAGATCAATGATGCCTGCTAACCAAGATGAATGAGTAACTGGAATTCCTGATAGCTTCCTCACCATTAGCCTAGCCCATATAATTAAAACAAAGAAAAATTCAGCAATCTCTCTTTACTTGTCACTACCTTAAACTAATTACTATTATTCTACCCTAAATTATTCCAGTAACGTCCCTCTTAAAGTTTTACTGACACTTAAATTAAATGTGGAAGATACCTTGAAGTGCTCACAGAATTTGACTCCTCATATATTACACAAGCAAAGTCAGCCAGTTTCTCCGAATGTGTAAATTTTGAACAACCAGAGCCCTTCATAACATGTAATTACCCTTTTACTTTACTAAGACAAATACAGTGAATTATTTGATAAGTCAAGACCTATAGACACAAGGGAATTTTTGTTTTTCCCTGATAGCAATGTGTAAGCAGGACTTGAATGGGGAACACTTGTAGTAGGTATTAGGAGCTACCAGATGGTGATAATAAACTGGTATTTTTTTTTAAAGATTTTTATTTATTTATTTGTCAGAGAGAGAGAGCACAAGCACGGGGAGCAGCAGAGGGAGAGGGAGAAGCAGGCTCCTCACTGAGCAAGGAGCCCGATGTGGGACTTGATCCCAGGACCCTGGGATCATGACCTGAGCCGAAGGCAGACACTTAACGACTGAGCCACCCAGGCGTCCCAATAACTGGTATTTTTTAAAAACACCTAACATCTTTCCCCCGGAACCAAGCCGGTTCTGTGCATTCTGTATTACTGACTGTGTAGACAGTGTGTTGCTAGTTCTACCGTGACTGACAAATTACAAGGAACCCGTGCCTGGCCCTTTCAGCTCCTCAGGCAGAGACAAGCCAGATGGAATTCTGAAAAAACCGCAGGAAGCAGCATGGGAGGAAGGCACAGCTAAAACTTCAAGCTTTTAATATTGGAGAGCTAAGTGCTCAGAATATCTTTGTCTTAAAAAAAACCCCCAATCTTATCAACAAATGGCCATCATTCTCCTTCTATCATTTTTCTAGACACTGTTAGAGTCTATTCTGTGAAGCAGTATATGATATGCCTCCCTCATCACCCCAGGGCAGTTGACACGCTGTTTGGTGCACCATCCCATCTTTTCCACACATCCCAAATAGCACCAGAACTGAGAATCACCACCATTTATTTACACGCCTTTTTTTCCCCCTGCTAAGTCATGCATGTTTTCAGAGCAAGGAGTGAGGCTTATCCATGTGCACATTCTCAGCTCAGCGCTGATCCACAGAATATGCTTCATAAATGCCTTTCTGAATGATGAAGACCATGGGCTGAGTTCCATCTATCTGTAAGGCTCCACGCCCTGTCTCTTTCAAACTTTGTAACAACTCTGAGAGCTAGTCATTATGCCCACTTTTGAAGGAAATTAAAGACCAAGGTCTCACAGCTAGTAGGTAGCAAGAGTAGAACCCATCTTTGCTGGCTCTAAAGTACTTGTTCCTTTGAGACAAATCATGTTGCCTTACAGAAAGGTGAAAGCAAAGCTCTGTGATTAGTTCAGAGAGAGGATCCCACACATTTTGTTAGGAAATGCTGAATTTCACTGACAGTTTTGTTTTGTTTTGCATAAAATAGCACCCATTATTTTCACCATATCTGTCCAACTTGCATGTGAGTGGCTTTTGAAGATCATTTTTTTTATGAAGATAATTTAAAAGAGGATGGGTATTAAAGAGGGCACGTTCTGCATGGAGCACTGGGTGTTATACACAAACAATGAATCATGGAACACTACATCAAAAACTAATGATGTACTGTATGGTGATTAACATAACAATAAAAAAATTAAAAAAAAGAGGGACTTCTCTGTCCTATCCACACCACCTTATTAATGAGCCCTGGATATCGATAAGCATTTGAGTGACAGTGAACGGTGGGTGAGTAGGATGAGAAGGCTCAGCAGCATGTCACAGCACTGACAATGGGGATGAAGTCCTATCATGTGGTAGAAACCTGTGGTGCCACTCTGTACGTAGGCAGCTTGGCTGAAGTGGCAAATCAGGCAACTGTGGAGATAAATCTTACCAAGACTTTTTAAGATTTAGAGAGAGGTAACAGCCTTATTGCCTTTCTAAAAATCATGCAATCATTGAATAAAACTGAGCCAGAGAACAGTAGAATCTCTTTTCCAGGAACTCTGATTTTCCAAGTAAAAGACTCTGGTTATTGCCTAAGAAAA